GTCTGAAGGGCACGTATTCACGCAATGGTTATATCTATGCATCGATCGCTGGAACCGTTAAGATTGTGCACAACGATGACAACACTGTTTGTTTGATATAAATGTAATGTTGCCATCAATTGATGTATATTTGTGTTTAGAAGACACTGGAAGTGCTGAGAGTGGACCGCAACAGACATTTAGTGCCACAAATGGACTCAATAGTGACGTGTCGGGTGCTGTCAATGACAGAAAGTGTGGTATGTATTGCCTAATAACCACAACAACCAATCCTTGAATGTGTTTATGTTGTGATTTGAGGTGAAAGTGAGCATTCATTGCATCGAAGGACAGGTCTTGAAACAGCCGTTTAGAGCTTTGTTGAAGAAGGAGAACATCAGAGGAATGGAGACCGAGAAGACACAGATCTGTAATTCATTTAGACCTTCAGACATAATACTGGCAAAAGTGATTGGTTTTGGGGAGAATAACAGCTATTTGTTGAGTACCGCTCAAAACGAGTTGGGAGTTGTGGTCGCACTCAACCATTCAGGTGTTATATGAGCTATAGACCTTCAGACATAATACTGGCAAAAGTGATTGGTTTTGGGGAGAATAACAGCTATTTGTTGAGTACCGCTCAAAACGAGTTGGGAGTTGTGGTCGCACTCAACCATTCAGGTCTTATATGAGCTAAAAGTAGAAAATTGGTTACAATTGTATGATTTGTTGATTAGGAATACCAATGAAACCCATGAGTTGGACAGAGATGTCGTGTCCGATCACATACGCTCGCGAACAGCGAAAAGTGGCTCAATTGGCCAACCCTTCGGACACTGAACACATTCAATGACATACGAGTCAATAGTTATAGAAAATACTATTTTTACACAATATATTCATTTCAATTGAGAGAAAGCATCGTTTAAAACATTAAACAAATATTTATTGAATTAATTTTTTGGATTAGTAATCAATTATATTAATAATATTTAAACAATTTTTTGCATTTAACCGAAAAAACAAATATTTAATAAACATTTTGTTTGATTTAATGAAGTGTAAGTGAATTGAATTTATCAAAAAAGTTAAATATATATTTCATCATGAAATCCGTTATAAAAGGGAATAATTCTTTTATATGTTATATTTCTTTTATAATAACCCAAATGTGATAATAAGTGAACAATTGGTAACAGAATTGAAATTATGATTTCTGCTCAATATTTTTGATTTTTATAAATATTAATAACTTTTTGTACTTTTGATATACAATACAATTCATTACTTAAACCAATTATAGCTTAAGGTTTGAATTGACGTCAAGTTTGAGCCGTTAATCAAATAATAATTGAAAGCAGAAAATGTATACAAATTTATATTGTATTTATATATATGTTCTGAATTGTGTCAGATATGAAACGTATGATAAACATTAAGACATTCTTCGGGTTATACAGCATCACAAGAAATGGTGAATATAATGATTAGATTAGATTTAAAATAAGATTTGTCCTCATATGTTGTACTCGTGCATCGCTTGTCCTAAGGCAAGTGGACCCGTCTGTCCATTAGGCCATGTGATGGTCATGTCTTCTGGAGTGTGTGAGCCGGTGCTCATGTCGTATGAGCCGTTGTTACCATTACTACCCTGTAAATTGTTGTGCCAATAACCGGTATAATCGTAGTTCCAGTTGGCACTCATAGCCTGAGAATTACCCTGTGTTGACATCACAGAACAAGACACTGAAGACTGTAATTACAGATAACAATAAATGATAAGCAAAATATAAATCACTGGTTTGTGAATGCGATGACAATACCTGGTCGTAGTAATAGTCATTTCCGTAGTCACTATTAGACAAGTCATCATTAAGAGCTCCTGAGCTTGAATTAGATCTCCAGTCATAGCAATGTTCGCCATTAGTAGAGCTGGTATTATAGAAATTAGTGGACATGGATTCAGGAGGCATAAGGGATGGCAGTGGGGACCGGATGAATGGCGAATGAGTGCTACAATTGGATGCATAGTCTCCACACATTGAGGAGCTTGTTGTAGTAGCGGCTGACCAGTCGTTATTGTTTTGCATTTGTAGACTAGACTTACAGTCAGTATCATTGAGTGACCATTTATTCATAAGAACTCTATCGATGGTTCTCTGGAAGTCATTTCCGCACTGTTCGAAAATGGACTGCAATTGTGTTGCCGTTAATTCGGGAAACGTTAGACAAAGACTCTGAAAATCACTGATCTTATAGTGATCTGAGCTTTTGATGGCAACACATGTAGGGTTTGGTGCTGTGCCTGAGTTCATGTGTTGCGATACGTGTTCTAATGACTTCCACGGCTGAGTCGCCGAACTTATGGCAGATATATCTGATGAGAGACCAGCGGTTCCGTAATTGGTTGCATCAGAAGAACTGTCCGATGATCTGCTCGCAGAACAATTGGTACCACTTTTACTATTGATATCGTTATAACTGTTGGAAATAGTGGAACTGTCTCCTGACCCTACTGTCCATAACAACACATTAAATAACAATCAGTATTGGTATATAACAAGAGTATGGATCTATTACCGGGTGATTCCGCGCCATTTGAAGTATCTTCTGTTTTGTCTAAGTTTTTCTGAGCTCTATATATGATTGAACGCCTCCTTTAATAAAGTCATAATTACCGGTAAATCATAATTTAAACATAATCTAAATATTAAACAATTCCTAATAAACCAT